TTAATGCGATCAAACGGATCCTAAAAAAAAATTAAATGGATACGTAAACAGGACAATTGCCCTGCCTTAAATGGATAATGGGGCGGGTACTCCGTCGCCCCGCACCCAGTTGCCAACCATAGTCGGGCTAAAATACTAATGTATGAAAAATGGTTGAATTATGCTTAAATCAGTACCAGATATTATAAAATTAAAAGAAAAAAAATATTGCGAGATACGTTTTTCATATACCTAGAAGCAATGAAAAAATGAGGTTGGGCTATCATGTCTCCTGTAAATTTATTAGCCCGACTGAGGTAAGAGACATTGGCTTATTTCTATGATGACCCCAAGAACAAGATGAGTGGCTTTGAGGTACTTTTAGGGCAATGTGCATCAGTGACCTTCTAGACGTGATATAATTCAATAGGATGGTTACACCAATGTCGAGACGTCACCTTGGCGGGTGGCCCACACATCTCGAGAGTGTGGTGGGCCACCTGTCGAGGTGGCCTTCCCTTATACGTGGTGCAACCGTCCTACTAAATTATTTCTCCTTCTAGATAGGCCCTTTACTTAAAAAGATTTATTATATAAATCATTGAGATTGATGATGTATAAGATCGAAATCAAGTAATCTTGACCTTACAATCACTAATAGTTGGTGCGACCGTCCTACTGAACTATTTCTCCTTCTAGACAGGTACATCACCCTTTACTTAAAAGACCTATTGCGTGAATCATTGAGATAGGAGATCTATAGGATCGAAATCAAGTAATATTGACCGTACGATCACTAATAATTTTAAGCTATGTGTACAACGAAAGAGTTGTCAGGCTTTTTACAAGCGACACTTCGATAGTTTTTGACCGAAAGTTGGCAAAAAAAAAATAAAAACGTCTCCATACTGGTAATGCCAACGCAACACCTTTAGAAACCTAATAACTATTCCACTGTAATATAATTATAAGAAGAATGCAACAAAAGACCCAAGGAAATCTATGTTGTGTATGGATTATTAAGATTAAAAATAGTTTTAAAAGTTAAGAAAACCAATGAAAAAGGTTCATCAACTATATATAAAAAAAGTCGAATTATAAACTTTTTAAGCGAAATGCCTAAAAAATAATTACAATTTACCTTCCTTAATGTTTATGACAATTAACAAATCAACATAAAAACATTTTAGAATTATTAAATAAAGATAAATGAAAATTCATTCAATGTTTCATATTACTATATTTAATAGCATTTTTTTCTAGTTTTTGTTGTTTTATCACTCTTGGCATTATTATATTAATTTGTTCATTTTTCAAAACACGATATCAAATTCACTAAATACGATTAAGATGAGATCACTTTGTACAGAAACGTAAAATAAAAAAAAAGAAAAGAAATATAAGTATAAAAAGAGAGGAGCAAAATGAAAAATATATGTTGCATATAATAAGGTAAAACAAAAGAAGTATGCATGTATGACGCGTGGGTTGTATCCACTAGTAATGTGTTTTAGGCTGTGACACTCGACGTATCACCCGGCCATTCTCATTTGCTTTGAAAATTGTATAGGGAGAGTAATATTATTTATCATTAACATAATTTATTATGAGTCTAGATGGATAGTGGGTTCAGTTCTGTTTAGTGTACAGATAGGGGTTCACAGCTATCGACACCTCACATGAGTGGGCGGGTGAGTTAATTTTTGGGCATTATTTAATTAGGTAGGATTCACATCTTTGTGAGCTCTCTGTAAAAATTCTGTCACACAGATTTATTCTAGTGGGTATCCTTTGTCATCATCAATAAAATTATGATGTATTTTATTATATTGAACAATAAATGAGTGGACTTACCATCACCTAAACCATTAATGAAAATTGTAAAGAGAGATTTAGCCCCCGTTTGACCCCCATTACCTGAAAATGAGATTAATCACCTAAACTACTTTCGAAAATTGTAAAGTGAGATTAATGACATAATTAGATTATCGTCATATTTTTATCAATTTAGATTAATGACATATTATTTGTCCCTAATACATATTTTTATCAATTAATGTTGATAGTTGGCTCACTTTATTCATTGTTCAATAAATTTGTGAAGTATTTTAATTTATTGAACAATGAATAAATGGATCTAATATCACCTAAACCATTGATGAAAATTGTCAAGAGAGATTCACGACATAATTAGAGCAAATTATCGTATTAATTCTTAAGTGATAAAAGGGTTTTTAGAACTACTAATATGTCATTAGTAAAGATAACGCCATCTTAAACTAGTAATGAAAATTGTGAAATAGATTCATGACATAACTAGAGTAAATTAGCGTTATAACACAAGGATTTTCTTGTTGATTAATATTATTTTTCATTAATACAGATTATTATTAGCTTACGTTGACAAAAGTAATCCTAGTCTAGATGGTGTTAATGCATCATTAAATGATAGGTGATATAAAATAAGTAATTTAATTTTACCTTTCATTCAACCTATCATCTAACGCCACTTAAACTCAAGTTATAACTTCTTTGAGACCGCATAACATTATTCACGTTGACAATGGGACTATTCATTCTTAAAATTGTGATGTATTTCATTAAATTGAACAATTAATGAGGGACTTTGCTATATCTACAAGAAATGATGTCACATGGCTATTGATCATTGGGCATTATCCAAAAAATGTAGTGTTTGCAACCAATGCAGGGCTGTCAACACTGTATCTGAAACTTACACATGGTAATTTACCTTCTACAAGCAGTAAAATTCATTAACGAGTAGATCTACTCTCACCTAAACTATTAGGGTGTGTTTGATACAATGAATAAATGGTTCTAATGTCACCTAAACCATTAATGAAAATTGTCAAGAGAGATTCACGACGTAATTAGAGTAAATTATCACCATTAGTGCTTATGTGATAAAAGGGTTTTTAGAACTACTAATATGTCATTAGTAAAGATAATGCCATCTTAAACTAGTAATGAAAATTGTGAAATAGATTCATGACATAATTAGAGTAAATTAGCTTTATAACACAAGGATTTTCTTGCTGATTAATATTATTTTTCATTAATATAGATTATTATTAGTTTATGTTGACAAGAGTAATGCTATTTAGTCTCACCGAAATTATAACCCTAGTCTAGATGGTGTTAATGTGGCATTAAATGATAGATGACTTAAAATAAGTCATTTAATTTCACATTTTATTAAGCCTATCATCTAACGTCATTTAAACTTAGGTTCTAACTCTAGTAGGGCTGCATAGTATTATTCACGTTGACAATGGGACCTTTATTCATTGTTAAAATTGTGATGTATTTCATTAAATTGAACAATTAATGAGGGACTTTGCTATATGTATAGAAAATTTGTATATATAACTTGACTAGATGTCACATGGCTACTGATCATTAGACATTATCCAAAAAATGTAGTGTTGGCAACCAATGCAAGATTGCCAACACTGTATCTGGCACTTGCACATGGTAATTTACCTTCTATAAGCAGTAAAATTCATTAAGGAGTAAATCTACTCTCACCTAAACAATTAATAAAAATTGTGAAGAGAGAATTTACATGACATAACTAGAGTAAATTAATGTAATTTCTTACACGGTAAAGGATTTTCTCTCTGAATAATACTATTTGTCAACAGTACAAATTATTACAATAGCATGTCGATGTGAGTCACCTTATTTAATGTTCAATAAGATTATGATGCATTTTATTATATTAACAATGAATGAGGGGCCTACCGTCTCCTAAAACATAATAAAATCTACCTATGTATATAATACCTTTTTTTTTTTTTTTTTGCGGATAATATGAGCATCAACAAGACTTGTTAGTTCCAACTCTTTCAACTCGTAAGTCATGTCATGTAACACTTGACTTGGTTAAAATTGCATTTCAATGGCATGCTGTGGTAAAAAGACAAGTTTACATCGTCGTCCAACTACCTCGACAAACTCAAGTTAAGAGTAGTCCACGTAAGAAAATTTGTAAAGTCAAGACGAAGTAAAAATATAAGTTAAAATTTTATTTATTAGAAATTTAACAATTTATCATAGTACTATCTAAAGACCTGTTTGATAGGCACCCAAATTCCATGAGAAATGGAATTCATTTTTCAACTTTCACTTTTTGCCATGTTTGATAGTCGAACAATTCCATGAAATTCTCTTTCTTGGTTTTCTAGGTACTGTTGATTTTATTTTTATTTTTTTATATAAATTTTTGTTTGGTAATGGAAACAAATTCTATTCCTAATTGTGAAAAAATATTTTCCTTTAATTGACAATTTTCATATAAAATAAAGCCAAACGAACACCAAAAGACAGATGATTTTTTTTCTTTTGGCAATGAAAACAAATTTTATCCATAATATCAGTAAATTCTATCCATTTAATTAACAATTTTCATGTAAAACAAAATCAAGCGAACACCAAAAAATACTTTTATTTCAACATTTTTCATGTGAAAAATTATACCAATCAAACACATTAATTGACAATTCTCAGGAAAATAATTTTTAGGTAATTCAACTTCCTAGAATTCCATATTTGCAATCAAACGGACCCTAATTGATCTGAACAATCTCTTACTTGAATAATAATATATAACACCATTGGTACCATGATATTGATTTAGATGACGCTAAGTAATATATTCATAGGGTATTTGGGAGACATTTTTATGTAAAAATACACTTTTGAATAGTAAATTGATGAAAAATGTGTGATTGAAAAATAAGGAATTTTTTTTTATTTACGTGTAATATTATTTTAATAAAGAATGTATAATTGAAAAGAAGAGAGAAAAATACATTTAAAAAAAAATGAGTACCAAATGGAGCCTCAATAAAATATAAAATTAAATGATTCATTTAATTATACTTTTTGTTTAACTTTTACTAAATATCATTAAATAGCACTACTCTTACTTTGGACTGATAAAGCACGGTTTTCTCGGTTATGGCGGTGGGTTTTGAAGACTTGACTCTGATGACAAAACCAAAGCTTCTCTCAGTAACTCCATTCCAAGATATATAGATATAGAAAGAGTAATCTATATATATAGAGAGAGAAAATATATTGAAGTTGAACAACACAGAACAGAGCAGCACAGCACTGCGCAAGACAACACGTAGTTTAAACTGGCATAGTCTCTAACTCAAAAAAAAGAGCTGAAGCTTCCGTTGATTACTCCCATAAAACCCCATTCTTCATTTCTTCTTCTTCCAGTCTCTATACCCCAACCCACCTCATCCCCATTGACTACAAATATACACAAGCTTCTGTCTACAACAATGGCGAGTACAGGTAGCGATGGGTTTGAGGACGAAGATTTCAATTTGAATTCATTTTTTTCATATGAGAATCCTCCGAAAATGCTGTGTTTGGGAGACTATGGTAAAGAATGTGATTTGAAGATGGTGGAGAGTTCTATTAAAACGGCTGAAAAATCTGGAGTTACATGCAGTGATTCATCCTCGACCTCTTCAACAAATTACATCAGCGAAACTAATACACTGCTAAAATCTAAGAAGAGAAATTGGCCGGGATGTACAGAATCCAATCTGAACTCCGGCGTTAATACCGAAGCTCCGGCAGGAACTCAGAAGTACTGTAAGAAAACCAAGTCGGAAAACTCATCGGTGGTCACCAGCAATGCAAAGGTCAGTGAGGTCTAGGAATTGCATGTGAAGGAACACTAAATTTTTTAATTTTTAAATGCATTATATATATTGCTTAAAATTTCAGATCAATCAGCAGATCGATGTTGCCAAATGCTTAAAATTTTACACGTTTGGGTTAAAATTTAAATACAGGTAAAGAAAGAGAAACTTGGTGAAAGAATCACAGCATTGCAGCAACTTGTGTCACCCTTTGGCAAGGTTTGATTTTCATTTGATCACTTTGCAATTATTAATTCATTCAATTAAGATTTTCAAATTTCCTTTTACACAAATTAAATCATGTTTATATATGGAAATATATGGGTATTTATAATTTTATAGAGTAAATTTATAATGGTACAGACAGATACAGCATCAGTACTTCATGAAGCAATGGGTTATATCAGGTTTCTGCAGGATCAGATTCAGGTTCTGTGTTCTCCATATATTCACTCTCTTCCTGTAAGTATTTCTTGTCACACTTTGATAAATTCAAATATTCATATATCAGCAACTGAGACCTGGCTAGCTATTAGGCCTCTGACTAAAAACTTGGACCAGAGTTATCCTATAGGTACATAAAATGTTTGACTGGATGTTTACAGAGAAATATTTAACAAATTTTCATTCGTTTATGACACAACAATGGTAGAAAATGCACCATACCTTGGACCATGTATTGTACAATCTAGTATATCTTAGCCTCGCCCCCAAGGCACATCTCCAATTGGTAAAAAAGGAGGGTGGAGAAATCCAGCTTTGCTTGAAACTGCTGCGTCAAGGGTTCGAATCCTGAAATATGGATTTGGCTTTTGGGTAAGTGCAAATGTACAAGCAGCCTTCCACCCTGTACCCTTGGAGACATAACCTGCGATTTACCTCCCTCACAATACTCCAGGACAGGGGTGGTGGGGGACCCTTAAGGTTAGGGTTTAACCTTTTTTTTTTAGTATATCTTAGCCTCCTGGGATATAGCTCAGTGGTGCAAAGGACAGGAGTGATATTATCTCACGTCTTGCTGGCAGTCGTAATATGGGGGTTCGATTTCTGAGATATGGAATTAGACTCCTTGTAGGCGCAGTGTACAGACAGCTCTTGTTTCCTGGCCTGTTGGGGCACATCCCGCGATTTACCTCCCTCACAAAGCTCTAAGGGCGGGACGATGGGGACCCTCAAGGTTGGGGTTCAACCTTTTTTTTTTTTTAGTATATCTTTGATGAATTAAGCTACTTATACAGAAATATTTTGACAGATGCCGAGGTGATCCTCAAACCTTGATTTGAATTTACGAAGTTCAAACTAAGGGTTGAGGTGCAAGCCACCTTAGCATCTATCAAAGAAGCTATCAAAGAAAAAAAAGTACAAGTAGTAGGGTTGATCGAAGATTGGAATGGATATTATAATTGACAAGAATTTTACTTCTTTGTAACAAAGTTTGTTCAGCATGGTATAAGAACAACATTGGAGCAACAAGGTTGTAGGATCAAGTTTTGCCATCAATAAATTTTATTTATGAAATTTATATACATAGCAGACTTTCGATGATATAAAATGAATCTATTTGCAAAACTGTATAATAATTTCATTTGTTCATTTGATTCCATTATAAGGGCTCCAATTTTCTATTTATAGAATGTTTTTCATTTCATTTTACCTGATTATTAACTAGAATCTTGAAATTAGCAAGAAGACACTATTTTGAATTTGATTTCTGATTCCGAGCTTATCTTTTCATATTAATAATGCTGCAGAATATGATTCTAGTGAGGGGAAAAAAAATCTCTATCCTATCTTATTTCAATGATCATTGCACTGTGTT